TTCCATTCAGGAGATTCCATTCATGAGATTCCATTCATCAGATTCCATTCATGGGATTCCATTCATGAGATTCCATTCATGAGATTCCATTCATGAAATTCCATTCATTCCGTTCATGTGATTCCATTCATGAGATTCCATTCATGGGATTCCATTCATGAGATTCCATTCATGGGATTCCATTAATGAGATTCCATTCATCAGATTCCATTCATGGGATTCCATTCATGAGATTCCATTCATCAGATTCCATTCATGAAATTCCATTCATTCCGTTCATGTGATTCCATTCATGAGATTCCATTCATGGGATTCCATTCATGAGATTCCATTCATGAGATTCCATTCATGGGATTCCATTTATGAGATTCCATTCATGAGACGCTAGTGTCGTCGAATAATATGTTCACCTCCATACCGTCATTTTTCAATAATATTCCCATCTTATTCACCATACCAACTGTTTCCTTGTTGTCATCTCATAGAAACCTCATTTCTCTTTACTTTACTCATCCGGAGGCCTTTACTGTAGCAAACTAATTATATGAAGTGTCTCACCATCTGTGTATGGCTCACTAAATACACCAAACACTTACTTGAGATCTCTCCAGGCTACAGGCAGCCGCAAATTTACATTTAAAATGTCAAGAATATTGACTGTCTGGGACAGAATGATATATATATATATAAATAGCAGCACAGAATGAGATAATGCGATGTATACAATTATTTTTAGTGGCGCAGATTGGTCCGTCGGATATGGCAATTAGAAAGTCGAATTGAGGCCCTAAAGGTAGTGTATGTAAATGTAAAGTAAATGCGCTACACACCTGGCCCAGGATAGAAAACTGCGACTCCCCACTACGCTGTGAGGCAATTGTGGACAAGACAAGACAAGACAAGACAAGACAAGACAAGACAAGACAAGACAGTGTGCCGATTGGAACGTAGGTAAATAGTTCTACCGCACCAGGACATCACACAAGCGATAAACACCCGGTGACACAAAGTGCCACCATGCGGATGAGGATGACCCGTGGATCACTCTAGAAACCCCTTTCAGCCGTTAGGCCATATCTATGGCTAGGCTACATTTATGGCCCGGCTATATTCAGGTTCGAAATTCCGGGGTGCCGGGTTCGATCCCAGCTGCGGGCCATGCGCCTTGCGTTGGTTTCGACAGTGGTTTTAAGAAAGCCGACCGTCCAGAAGCAATAGCAAACTACTCGACATAAATTTGCCTAAAAAAACCATACCGTTGGTTCTGCAACGCCCTGTAAAGGATACGCAACCAACTTTATATTCAGGGCCCCGGCAGAAGCCAGGGTGGGGCTTCAAATATAAAAAATTTGCGTCCCACACGGGGAGAAATTTCTACCATAATGTAGTAAGTAAAAGGTAGCATTTCTTTGAAAACAATAATGAATGAAAGAGTTTTTAATGGCTGTAAACAAAAACGTGTCATTGGAAATATTTAATAAATTGGGAAAAGGGGAAATAGTATTATATATATAAATGTAGCACGCCTCTAGGCTTATTAGGCATATAGGGCTAGACCGTGATTTTATAGACCAATCGACACTCGGTGAGTGATATGGTCAATACCACACCTGCCATCGTTAATTCTCAAGACTGTACCTGGTAGCCATTTATGGCTACATCGACCTGGGAGCCAAGGTGATTTTAGAAAAAGGAAACAAATTCCGACTCCTTCAGAGCCTGTCACCTTACGATGCACAGGAGAACGTCTAGCCGCTACACTAAAGCAGAGGAATAACTAAAAGACAAAATTATCATATAAACATTCCTCAACATCCATGAATTAATTTGAGTTGAGTTAAGTTGAGTCGAGGATTGACATCATAGCACTCGGGGAATTCCCATGCCGCTCCCTCCTCATCTTCCGCAGCCCGCGCAGAGTTCCAGTACTGATGGTAAAAGTCACAATCTGGTTATATGTCCGTCTTGCCTCTTCCTCTGAGTGTAGTCAGCCGGCCAGACCCTCTGGTTACACCCAGGTGCCTCATTCTCTCCAGGCCATAATAATCTTCTTTCTATACTGATTCCGTTGCTTGTTCCAAAAGGGCCTTGACCACATCCATATGTTCCGTTTTATGTCACATGGCGACTAGCACTCTATTCTTCTACACCGGTATATTCTGTGCAAATATTTCAGTATCATGAACGGCATCCAATCCCTCACCTTTGAACTCTTTCATAAACTTTCATTAAAAAAAATACTTGGAAAAACTATTACTTACTTACTTAGTTTATCCTCTTTTAACCTGGGGTGTAGATGTTTGTTAGAGAGATCGGCAGACTTCTCTGTCGGCAGTTTTCTTTAAAGCTTTATTCCATTCCAGTATTGTGTGAGTCAGGGACTGTACAAGACCGGCTCCAGCTAACGGTGCGTGCTGCTGACGTCACTGGTTCGGGCTCACAATGCGTTAACGCAGCGGTTCTCAAACTGGGTGCCGAGGCACCCTCGGGTGCCGTGAGCGTGTGCCAGGGGTGCCGCGGCAATAATCAAGAAAAGTCGGCTACAAAGTGGGAAATTTGTAAAGAAGACATGTAGATACTTAAAAGGTAAAATGTAAGTTGTCTTCCCTCGCCACTGTGGACAATATATTTTTTTTTTCCTTGTTTGAGAACCACTGTGTTAACGAATTGTAGCCCAACCCAGTGACGTCAGCAGCACGGGCCGTCAGCTGGAACCGGTCATGGACTGTCGCTTGTTATCTTCCCAGATAACCCTAGGTCGTTCCAGTCGTCTTGTTCTTGCTTTTAGCCTTCCCCTGTCTGCCGTGGAGGCAGATGCTCACATTCTACCTCCATATCAAAACCATCCTAGCTGTGACTGATCTACTCAAGTTTTTAAGGTCGGGTTTTGAAAGAATGGGAAGTAAACATAAGCCCGGCAGCCTTACAAGCGAAAGCAGAGACGTGAAGAGACTTACACAAGTCTTGGAAAGTATACAAAAGCGAGAGACAGAGGTGTTCGAGAAACACTGTAGCAAACTGAGTTGTTGAGAAAACGCCTGATTGAAAGAACCTAGCTGTCATATGGTGGCTAGTGTTGTATGATGCACACAGACACACACAAGCACATACACACACGCACATACACACATACTCACAGACACACACATACACATAGGCACACACGCACACTCACGCATACACACAAACATTAACCTGCGAGGTTCGTGGAGACTGTCTTGCGACCTGAAAACCTCAAGCCCCCCCCCCCTACTCCCCCCTCCACCCCAAATCCTGACTGACTCTGCAAAGAGTGGTAAAATAGATACAGGCACGACAGACAGCTTTGAGTGACCATATACCTACAGCAGTCAGTCCATCGTAGAATAATGCACGTCATTAAATCTGCCATCAGCCAGCTTCCTCCCATCAAACACTCTACGGGACGACACGAGCTTGAAGCTAATAACTGCTTTTATTGGAATCATTAAACCAAACGGTCTGATTGCTCACGAAGGATAAATTCTATCTATTTTAGAATTAAAAAAACAAAAAAAAAATTACCACACGCATCCTGCTGTTGGCAGCCCAAGTTGCCAACAGACTCCGGTTATATTTATGGACTGTTTTATGGTCTGCCCCACTTCTGTGGTTAAAATTATGGTATGTGCACCAGCTCTCTGGCTTTATGTCCTTTATCCTGATAGACCGGACCTTCCTGACTTTATCCCTATGTGTTGCTTTTATCCTTGTCTTCCTGTTGTTTTCCTTTCTAGGTCACTCTCTGTCTGGTTCAGTCTCCTTATTGTCTTGCTCTTGTGTCCTTAGTTGCGTATCTGATTCTGTTCACTTCTATTTTGGTCAATCGAATCTCGCAAGAGACCGAGCTGGTTCCAAACAACGTCCTTTCCGACCACCATTTATAGTTTTAAAATTCCGAGTAAAAGTAATAAAAAAAAAGTAAAGATCCCTTTTCACGCCTTTCGGCGCATCGGGCATATGGGCAGAGCGTCCCATATTTTTACAGACCATCAGCACTCTGTGGGTAATGTGGTCAGCATTACGCCGGCTGTCTTTACTTTCCCAGGACAGCCCATCCTGGTACCCATTTTAGGCTGGGTCGACCTGCGACGTCCCCATACCACGACAAAAATCCACGCAGCCTGCAGTGGGTAAATTCCGAGTACTTTGACAAAAAGTACTGAAAACAATTTTTCGATCTGGATAGATGCGAAATTGTCAAAATATTTTGCGTGTGACCATAGCGGTCTTATTTATAGATGTCTTTTCTAAGTAATAAGTAAGAAGGTAAGTAAATTTCAGCCCACCAGGACATCACACAGAGCGATAAATACCTGGTGATACAAAGTGCCACCATGCAGATAAAGAACACCCGTGGAGAGGTTCGGGAAACCCGGTTCAGCCGTTAGGCCATGTTTATGGCCCGGTTATATTTAGAGCCCCCGGCACCAGCCGTGGTGGGGCTTTAAAACAACAACAAAAAATGCATCTCACAAGGGGACGACTTTTAAGGCATTTTTCTAGGTAATGACAAAAAAGTACTTCCGTACCAACTGACACCATTACTAAGACAGCCAAACATAAATATTAGCGCTAAGATAAAAGATTGTGAACAGCATTTTTATACTAATCTGGTAATCTGGTAATCAGATTAGTATAAAAATGCTGTTCACAATCTTTTATCATACTAACACTGCGCTACCAATGCCAGACTTGGACATTATCAAAGACTAACCTACATAAATGTAACACACGTCAAATGAGAGGCCTGAGAAAAGCCGCCGTTTTGAACATCCGATTCAATGAATCACATTATCAGACAGACTGTAGGAACAACACCATGCAGCGAATTCACTGAGAAACAGAAGATCAAATGATTTGGTCATTTAGTAAGAATGCAGCCAGAACAACTACCAATGCAGCCAGAACAACTACCAACACAACCAGAACAACTACCAATGCAACCAGAACAACTACCAACACAACCAGAACAACTACCAATGCAACCAGAACAACTACCAATGCAACCAGAACAACTACCAACACAACCAGAACAACTACCAATGCAACCAGAACAACTACCAATGCAACCAGAACAACTACCAATGCAGCCAGAACAACTACCAACACAACCAGAACAACTACCAACACAACCAGAACAACTACCAACACAGCCAGAACAACTACCAATGCAGCCAGAACAACTACCAATGCAACCAGAACAACTACCAACACAACCAGAACAACTACCAATGCAGCCAGAACAACTACCAATGCAACCAGAACAACTACCAACACAGCCAGAACAACTACCAATGCAGCCAGAACAACTACCAACACAACCAGAACAACTACCAACACAACCAGAACAACTACCAATGCAGCCAGAACAACTACCAATGCAGCCAGAACAACCACCAATGCAACCAGAACAACTACCAACACAGCCAGAACAACTACCAATGCAGCCAGAACAACTACCAACACAGCCAGAACAACTACCAATGCAGCCAGAACAACTACCAACACAGCCAGAACAACTACCAACACAGCCAGAACAACTACCAATGCAACCAGAACAACTACCAACACAACCAGAACAACTACCAACACAACCAGAACAACTACCAACACATCGCTACACAAAGATCTGAAGTAAAGGCAATACATCGCCTTTGGTTAGACTGATGATGTCAAAGAGCTTTTGAATTGACACGGAATTAAACCAAGCAATGGATCGCAAACTATTCCTCCCCACAATTCTTAACGACAGAAGTGGAAATTGATTAGACGAAGTAAAAAAAAAAAAAAGACATAAAAACACTGTTTTCTTTGTTAGTAGGCAAAACGATGTTGATGTTGATGATAACAGAAAGGAAAGGACGTGTGTGGGGAAGAATCTGTTGTGTGTACGGAAAGGACGTGTGTGGGGAAGAATCTGTTGTGTGTACGGAAAGGACGTGTGTGGGGAAGAGACTGTTGTGAGTACAATCAGTGTACCAGTGGAACGGTCAGTTTCTTCTTTCTTCTTTACAATAGATTTCACGAAGGCTATCAGTTTGTTGTCTCTTTGAACTGGAACGTCAGAAGCAAGTCTCCAAGAGTTCCCCACAGCTTGTAGCCAGCGGTTTTACATTGGAACGTGAGCTGCGGATACTGAGCATCTATCTATAGGTTTGTTTTGTTTGTTTTAGTATCCAGAAGCCATGAGTTGTTAACCCTTAGGCTTGGTATTATGGATATCGCAACCTTTCGGCCTTGATTCCATTGTAAATACCGTAAATCTGGGAGAAATGTGGCTTTTCTACCGACCCCCGGGATTGAACCCGGACCACAAGGAGTACGTCACCCGTTCTCCGCACAATCCGGTTTAGCCAACTACGCTAGAGAGCCGGGCATCTATCTATGGGTAAGGCCGGTGTGTTATGAGTAATAATTTCTCCACCAAACCGTCTCTCTCTCTCCCTCTGTCTATATATATATATATAGTCGGCTCTGTGGCTAAGTCGATGCGAATGCTTCGTAATGCCGGGTTCGATTCCCCTGCGGGCCATGCGACTTGCGTTGGTTTCGACAGAGGTATCAAGAAAGCAGAACGTTGAGAAGCAATGTCAAATTGCTGGACGTAAATTTGCCTAGAAAAACCACACAACAGCAAGGAGCTGTTAGGGCTGGTTCTGCAACGTCCTGTAAAGGATACGCAACCAACTTATATATATATATATATATATATATATATATATATATATATATATATATATATATATATATATATAGTGTTGTGTCTGTTGGTGTGCGTTTATCTTTGTCTGTGTGTATGTTGTCTTTCTGTGAGAGAGAGAGAGAGAACGAGAGAGAGTATGTGTGTGTGTGTGTGTGTGTGTGTGTCTGTATATTGTCTTTGAGTGAGTATTGTGTCTGTGAATGTTGAGTTGTATATTTGTGTTATGTCTACTTGCGCCAAGTGTGTTGAAGCAGTGTGTATGTATAAAGTATGTGTCTATTGGTTGCGTCAGTGTGTATGTATTGTGTATGTGTGTCATCTGTGTGTGTCATCTATTTGTGTCATCTATGTGTGTCATCTATGTGTGTCTGTGCATATGTGATGTTAAAAGTCCCCCCCACCCCCCCCCAAAAAAAAAAAAGGCTGCTTATCCTTTTCAGGACGTTGCTAACCCAGCCCCAGCATTTGTTTGGCTGTTGTGGTTTTTATAGGCAAATTTACGTCTTGTAGTTTGTCATTGCTTCCTGGACGGTCGGCTTCTCAATACCACTGCCGAAATTAACGTAAAGCGCAAAGTTTGCAGCTGGGATCGAACCCGGCACTCCTGCCTTACGAAGCGCGTTCGCAACGCCTAAGCCCCAGACGGTGACTATATAGACTGAAATGGTTTGCGTATTTTGAGAGAATGTCGGGTGACAGAGAGCTAAATACTGTATACCCAAGGGAGCTGAATGGCCGTGATCAGTGGTCTCAAACCAGTGACGGTTGCACAAGAGTTAAGAAGCCCCCCCCCCCCCCCCCCCCCCCCAAAAAAAAAAAAAAAAAAAAAAAAAACTAGTTGAACATTCGCTAGCGCCTGCCCCGAAAGAGAGCCGCACGTTTTCATGTCGGGCCTCGAACGAACGGGAGCCATTTTTCCGCACAGTGTATGGACGGCGAAGGCAAAGCAACGCATATCCTAACATCCCTACAACATAAGACACCCCATGGAAACCGCCACGACATGAATGGGAGCCGGAACGAAATCTGACGCTAGCCGAGATAAGGTGATTTTTGTGATATGTACCTATATTTGACATAAGATGACACACGCTTTCCTGCCTAAGTACTTACTCGTTGACCTTTCATTCATGCTTGCTCACCTCTCACACGGACTAGTCTATGTTACTGGGGTGTCACGTTGTATTAACTTCGCAAAGCTTTCTGTGTTGTGTGTTACTAGTTGTTGTTAGCAGCCAGCGACATTGTGTTTTTACTTCTTGTGAGCAACGGCGGCCACCTTGCGTACAATAGAGCTTCTCGGACTTGAAGTACCATATGAATTACTTGAGCTGTCAGAGTTGACAGGTCGTACGCTGCACTCTTTCTTGAGTCGTAGGCTGAGGCTGTGGTGTAGGGGGGTTGGGGTTATGGTCAGTTTAAGATGTTGTGTAGTCCTTAGAAATGTTGACGTCGTATAATATAGAACACGCGACATCGCCGTTGATATAAAGGAGATAATACAACGGGACACTCCTGTAACATAGACAAGCCCATGTGACAAGTGAGCAAGCATGAATGAAAGATCAGTCAGAGTGCATTTGGGCCGGAAAACGTAATAAGAACCTGAAATATATAAACAGTTACTTCAAAAGCTCTCCCAGACATGACCAGGAAAATATCCAAGGAAATTAAAATGACCGGCATAGTCGATCCTATCGCCCACCGAGTGTCGATTTGCCTTTACAAATCTTTGCCCTATAGACTATTTGTGTGAGTAAAGTCGTTTACCTGGTTCTAAAAGTTTCCAGTGGTGTGCTAGCATGGGATTAACAAAATGACATCTGGTCTGAAGATTGCAATTAATAATACATTTATAATACTGTCTAAGAATCGTCAAAGGAATGCTGGTGCTAATCTGCCAAAACATCTCTTGGATGTCCAGATGAGTGAAGCATTACGAAGAGATTAGTCTGTCGGAGTTCTATGAATTTCCCATCTTTTGTATGTGATGTGGCAACTGCTGGCACACTGGGAAATAAATATCTCCTTTCTCTTCCAAGGAGATCAGCGTTACAAATGCGGTACTAATAGTTCAGTACTTGACAGTACAGTACTTGATAGTACAGTACTTTATAGTCACAATGATATTCTAAGCTCAGTACAGGCCAGTTGTTGATTCAACACTTTCTAGCTACGAGTTTACGTTCTTTAAAGCGAATGTCTTTGAGTCTCAATGAACTAAGTAAATAAAAGTAGAAATATCTAACGTCTTATTTTGTCAGTATTTGCTTTGTGTCCTTGGGCTTGGTAGATTCACCGATGATAGGCAAAGGTGTGCTCAGTTGCTTAGTAATTTGTGATGAAGAGAGGTGTAAGGCTGTCAGCGACTTCTTCAGTCCGTTTTCTTCTGCCTCTCACTCTGTCGCGTGGTGTTTGTTAATTGATCTTATTGATTGCATCCTCACTAGGTGGCTTCAGGTGCAATATTGTAGACAGGCAATATTACGTGATTTGCCCCTCATTCTCTTTTATTACGTGGTTTGTCGTGCCCAAATTTCTATTACATGGTTTGTCCTAAATCTCGTCTATTACGTGGTTTGTCGAGCCCAAATCTTCTATTGCATGGTTTGTCCCCAATCTCTTTTATTACATGGTTTGTCCCCAGCCTCTTCTACTACGGGGTTTGCCAAATCTCTTCTACTACGTGATTTGCCACTAACCTCTTCTATTATGTGGTTTGGTCTCAATCTCTTCTATTCTGTGGTTTGTCCCCAATCTCTTCTGTTACGTGTCTTGTTGCCAATCTCTTCTATTACGCGGTTTACCTCCCCCCCCCCCCCACCTCCCCCGTCTCTTTAAGTACGCAACATTCATACCACTATCCAGAAGCCACAAGAACGGTTCTTTTTCCCTAAATGGTCTCCGATTGAAATCGCGTCCTGGTATTTGAGAATTATGAAACATCACCAGTAATCTCTGTTCCACTGAGTGCCATGAATCCCATTACTATATAGTGGGAAACTATGAAGAAATTTTACTTTAAATCGTAACAATGAGTAAATGCAAAATTTGATAGGGGAAAAAAAAAACAAGAACTAGGAACTCGGTTTCTAAAACGTGTTTCTAATTGTAGCCTAAAGACATGCGAGCGAATCAGACTGGGTATTAGATTTCGTTTCTAAAGGGAATTTCTGCGCAAGTTTCTTTTTGTGCAGAATGAGAGTGTTTTGTGAACGAGAAGTTCTGAGTCAAAAACGGATATTCCCTATAGTTTGCGGTAGTCACAAAAGCGAAGACCGCCGGCGGGCTGTGAACTCTTAGACCTTCGCACATTCTTAGAAGGAACTTTTTTTTTTAAAGCCTGTGGCACATCAGGATTTCTATGCTTGAATCTCTTTTATAGAACAATCATGTCGGAGGGAAGTGGGGGTGGGGGGGGGGCGGGGGGAAGGGGGTGATGTCAGTATCACACTGGCCACCATTACCTTCCAGAACAATATATGGTATACCCCTTTGTTGTTGTTGTTGTTGTTGTTGTTGTTGTTGTTGTTGCAGTTGTTGCTGGGTGTAGCTAGGAGCTAGGGTAATTTTGAGGGAAAAGCTCCGACTCACTACGGATTCGAACCCAAGAATTTTGGGTAGTCAGGCGAACGTCTAGCCGCTACTCCACAGTAGCGATTGAAATAGACAAAATATTTCAGTTTCCGAAACGAGATGCTGTTAACTAGCCAATCTTCCTTGATGTTACAATTTTTTAGGATGCCAGTATCTCTTTTCGTCTTGTTATGTTGTAATTCTTTCAAGCTTACTCAACCTAAAGCGTGTATCAGGAAATGTCCTGGGAATTCAAGGCGCTGGTGGTCATTTTGAAAATAATTACCTATCCGCTGTGGATTGTTCTAAATGGTAAAACGCAAAAAGTCTATCGTCATTGGCCCAGTACACCAC